AAAAAAAAAAAAAAAAGAATGACAGGAGAGTAAAACTTGCTCTGTTGGGGACTGAGTATGAGTGGGAGGTAGAGGAGGAAAAGGAGAGGGTGAATGAGGGTGAACATGAGCTAAGTACTTCATATGCATGCATAAAGACAGAACACTGTGGGAGGATTCTGGGGAGTGAAAGAGGAGGTGAGGTTAATGGGGTACATTTATGCACGTATAGAAGCATCACAGTGAAACCTCCCTTGTTCAATTAGTTAATATGTGTTGGCCAAAAAAAAAATCCCCAGAAAAAAAAAATTCCACAATTTTTGAAGTGGGAAATGTAGTTCAGTGGTAGAGCACTTGGTTAGCATGTGTAAGGTCCTGATTTTAACCTCCAGCACCGAAAAAGAAATAAGAAAAAGGAAGGGAAGGAAGGAAGGAAGGAAGGAAGGAAGGAAGGAAGGAAGGAAGGAAGGAAGGAAGGAAGGAAGGAAGGAAGGGAAGGAGGAAAGAAGGGAAGAAAAGAAAAGGACTTGGGGATGTGGCTCTAGTGGCAAAATACCAGTCTTAAAAGCCCAATCACCAGTGTGGGAAATAAAAATCAAAGAGTAAGTGAAAATAATGTCTGCAGGATTAGGATGTTAAGTAGGCCTCTGCTCCTTTATGAGACATCACAGCCTGGGGTGGGGTGTTTAGTGCTAATTACTGTTTCCTCCACTCCACCCCCTCCCCAACTGCATCTTGAGAGAAGGAGGGTGGGCTGAATTCCTGATGGGAGCCTTCAGCCTCCACCTGGTCAGACCACGTTTATTTATTTTTAATTAATTTCCTTTATTGTTATTACAGAGGCGATGTACAGAGGGATTACAATTACATGAGTCAGGTAATGAGTACATTTCCTTTCGTAGGGTATCTTCGGTTCCCTGGCTCTCTCCCAGTCCCTCCCTCCTGTCTCCACCCAGGAGCTGTACAGTCCACTTTCCTCAGTGCCCAGTGAGCTCCACTGTTGCACTTTTTTACCCTTTTCCCCTCAAATTCTGCGCCCTCCACTCACCTCCCTGAGGACATACATGTGAGGGAATACGTCATACATAAAGTAGATAGAATCATCAAAAACTAAAACAACAATAAAAAAGAACTCTCTTGTTTCTATCTTGGAGTTTGTTTCAGCATGTCTATTATTTTATATAAATACAAAGAGGCACTTAGGCATTGCACCGATGCGTTTCTCTCTTTAGAGTATCCTCTTTTGGTCTCCCTAGAATTCGGTATAATCTGTCATATCCCCGTTCATTTTAGATCTGATTTCCGCATCTCAGCAGGCCGTGTTTATAAGGTGGGGAGCAGAGAGGGGCAAGGAAAAGAGAAGAAGCATGGAGGAGGGAAGGACTCACCCCACCAAGCGCTGGGCCCTGGTGGCTCCTGTGGCTCTCCAGGGGAGCCTTCCTCAGTGTACCTTCTTGGTCCCCCAGCCAGCAGGTCACACCCAGAACCAACTCTACGCACCTGGCCATCCAAAACAGCTTTCACTCCCGACTCTCGTCCTCAGCAGCTGTCCGGCCCCTCTGTCTGGCTCTGGCTCTGGCTCTGGCTCCAGGCCCTCTTCTCTGGCTCTTATACCTGCCCAGAGGCGGCGGAACCTGGCTCTGTGCCAGGCCAGTGCCAGCTGGGAGGAGCTGTCGGTGGTTATCGCACAGCAGAAACTCAAATCCCACAAACACACACAAACACGACCTTGTTACCCCTCTGCTCTCCAGCTTTGTCTCCATCTGTCCAAAGAGGTGAGGAGTCCTGGGCGCCTTGTCTCCCACCTGGAGTTTCTCACTAGCTCTCAGGTGCCCCCTGCTGCCCACCATTGAGATTACACTTTGTGACCTGTCATGAGAAAAGGCCATGCTGAGCTTCCCCGTCCATCATGTGCCATGCCACAGGGAGCCCCAGCTTGGGCTTGGCCCCACCAGCTTCCTGGCTCTCACAGGAGGATGATCATGGGAAGGAAAGACCAGGGGCTGGCACAGGGTCTTGCTCCATTAGAGGGGCTACTTCGCTGTCCCTTGCTCACAGTAGGATCTTAATGACAACTGTGTTGTTGACTTGTAAAGCAGCAAGAGCCTTCAGCCAGAAATTGGCTTCAGAAAGGGGAATGCAATTTCTTTTGGTTGGTTGTGGGGCTTGAAGTCTGGGCTTGAGCACTGTCCCTGAGCAATTTAGCTCAAGGTGAGTGCTCTACCACTTGAACCACACACCACTTCTGGTTTTCTGGTGGTTAATTGGATATAAGAGTCTCATGGATGCTCCTGCTTTGAGCCTCCATCCTCAGATCTCAGCCTCCTGAATAGCTAGGACGACAGGCGTGAGCCACTGGCACCTGGAGGGAGCCCACTTTTGCCTCCTCTCTTCATACCTAGCTCATGGCCAGGTGTCCTGGGACAGTGTCCCCTCCAGGAAGTGTGGGGTGCTCAACAGACTTGTATTATGGGGAAAGCAGGCACGTGAAGGGCCCTGTTGTTACCTCAAACACCGTTGTTGCAGTGTGTGTTTGAGCTGTAAACGGCCAGGGGTCACACACCCGGCCCCTTCCTGCTGCCCCCCTTCCCTCCCCCATGCCTCCCTCAACCCTATTTCCCATATGTTCAGTATTCTATACCCGACCATTGAGCACTGAGAAGCCAGTGATGTTTGTTTGCCTGGCTGTTTGCTTCTCTGTCCAGGAAAACGCAGCATGAGGCCTGGCCAGGAGCCTAAAGTGATAGCTTCTAGGGGACTGCAGGCCACAGGTGCCTCTCCTCCGGCAGCCTCTTCAGAAGCACCATAGTCCCCTCTAGGAAATGCTGGGGTCAAACCCAGGGCCTTGCCCATGCCAGGCAAGTGCTCTACCATTGAGCTGCACTCACAGTCCTTGGTGTTCTTGAGAAAGTCTGGTTATGTAGCCCAGGCTGGCTTTGAACTGTCATCTTTCTGCCTCAGCCTCCCCAAGTGCTGGGATTACGGAAGTGTATTACTACTCTCAGCATATCCAGGGAATAACTTAAGTGTCCAGTGAAACTGGAAACATAACCTTGGACATTCATCCTGCTTAGAAACATGGGGGGTGGGAATCTCTGACACCCATTAAGTGAAGGAAGTAATATAAAATAATCTATGCAGTATGGTTTCAGAAGTGTGAAAGAAACTGGAAAACATCCGAGAAAGATGACTAGAAAGAGACATACCTATCCATGTTCACTGAGATGACATCTTTTTTTGGTTGTGGGGCTTGAACTCAGGGCCTGGGCCTTTCCCTGAGCTCTTTTGCTCAAGGCTAGCACTCTACTGCTTTAACCCACAGCTCCATTTCTGGTTTTCAGGTGGTTAAATGGAGATAAGAGTCTCATGGACTTTCTTGCTTGGGTTGGCTTCCAACCACGATCCTCAGATCTCAGGCTCTTGAGTAACTAGGATTATAGGCTAGAGGCACTGAAACCCAGCAAGTTTTATGTTAGTTAGAAAAACAAATGACCTCCTCTTGGAGACCTTCCAAGTTAGTTTCCATTTGGTTTCCACATTTTGGTCTATTTAGCAGACCAAATGGTAGAAATGAAACTGATTTTCTACTTGGGTAATCATCACGTTCATTTCTTACAATCTGTTATATAATTCTTACAGTCATTTAATGCTTAATTTCCTCTTGACCAGAGATTTATACATCAAGCCCTGGGTGCCTGAGTTGGATATTTGCAGCCTAGTGGCGCCGCCTATCAAGTCCTGGAATTGGGTGGCCTTGAATTCAAATCCACCACCATCCAAGCTTTATGCCCTCGTCATGCATTCCAATTACCTATTGCTGTGTAACAAGCTGCTCCTAACCTTGGTGGCAATTTGGGCAGGGTCAGTGAGACAGCTCATTTCTGCTCTACTTGTCAGCTGGGTGGCTCCAAAGCTGAGGGCTGAGTCATCTGCAGGGTCACTGCCACATGTCTAGTGGCTACAGGGGACCAGAGCTAGAGCTGCTGCTTGGCTAACTCCATGAGGTCTGGGCTTCCTCCCCAGGTAGCTGGGTTATAAGGGTGAGTGGTCAGACAGACAGAAAGAAAGACAGAAGCAGATAGGCTGGGCAAAAGCCATATTGCCATGTGCGACTTAACTTTGCACATGATGGTATTGTACTGGTTGGGGCAGTCCAAGAGATCTACTCCAGTTTATGGACAGGGAACAGATGGTTGGACTGGAGAAGTGTCAATAGCATATGGTGAGAAAAACAGCTGGAACAGGATACTGGGGCACTGATTTTTTTGGAAAAGGCAATCCATGATAAGAAGATCTTTGGTGGGGCTGGGAAGGTGGTAGAGCGCTTGTCTTGCATGCATGAAACCCTGGGTTCAATTCCTCAGCACCACATAAGCAGAAAAAGCCGGAAGTGGCACTGTAGCTCAAGTGGTGGAGCACTAGCCTTAAGCTGAAGAGCTGAGGGATAGCACCCAGGCCCAGAGTTCAGGCCCCATGACTGACAAAAAAAAAAAAAAAGAAGATCTTTGGCCTCTGAGCTGGGTGGATGTGGTGGTAGACATAGAAAAGCTGTTGTCCCGGCCATTACAAAAGATTACTTGAGTCCAAGAGTTCAAGGCCAGCTTGAATAACTTAGTGAGACGCAGTCTCAAGATGAAGAAGAAAAAGGGAAAGTAATTGTGAGATTCTTTATTGAAATGCCAAGTATTTAAAAAAATTATAATAAATAAAAAAGGTGTGGAGCCAGGGTGGCTCACACTTACAATCCTAGCTACTCAGGAGGCTGAGATCGGGGAACGAAAGTTCAAAACCACCCTGGGCAGGAAAGTATGCGAGTCTCCTATCTGCAATTAACCACCAAAAAACCAGAAGTGGTGCAGTGTGGCTCAGAGTGGTAGAGTGCTATCCTTGAGCAAAAAGAGCTCAGGGACAGCACCGAGGTCCCTGAGTTCAAGCCCCATGATAGACAAAAACAAAAAACAAAAAAACTGAACCATGTGACATGCTCATATACCATGGAGGTGGAAGGGCTGGTGTGGATTTGAATGCCTGGCTCTCACAGGCCAGATAGGAGGGGCAACTTGGCAGCTGGGGATGGTCACCCACCTGAATGTAACCAGTTCACAACTCGCAGCAAGTCCTCCGTGGTATTGCTGGTTTCACCTGATCCCTCACTGTGCTCCACCAGATTGTTCCAAGTCTCCCCTGGAGTGGCCACATAGATTCTTGGCTTCTAAACACAAAGACCCTCAGGGCAGGAAGGGCCCTCAACCCCAGCTCCCCAGCAGCCTTGAGTGTGAGGGGGAGAGCTCCTCCCCCTAGAATAAAGACAAAAGAAATGGATCTGGTGCTAAGCTGTGTGTGTGTGTGTGTAAAGGTGTTGTGTGTCAGATGAAGTAGTGGTGATGATGGGGAAGGGGGAGGGGAAGGAGGAGGAGGAGGAGGAGGAGGAGGAGGAGGAAGAGGAAGTGGAGGAGGAGGAG